ACACACACACACACACACACACACACACGAGGGTAGGGGAGGGAGGGAGAGATAGAGAAAAGAGTGGGGGAGAAAGAAATGATGGCATTAGCTCTTTTGAAGTAGCTAGAATGAGAGTAAGTGTTAAATGTTTATGGATTTACATTTGACTTCACTAACCATCATTCCTTAGTTTATATGTTGTTATCCACTGGGTGGAATGTGTTAGACATCCTTTGGGGTGTCTGCTTAGCTCAAAGTAACCGTCTTTCATTGAGAATTCAATATTTCCTAATTCACAAGATAGGATTTGTCTACCATGTTTTTCATTTCATTGGTTTTGTTTACCAGTGCTGGAGATCAAGCTAAGACCTTGAACATGCTACGAAAGTATTCTACCATGGAGCTACACTTCCAGCTATATTTTTACTCTGACTCTGCCCCCAGAAAATTTTGATTGGCCCGGAGTAGACTCCTACAAAAAATTGAACTAATCAGTTGCTTTCTCCATAGATTTTTGTCATTGACATAAGACAGTGCCCATTTTCTTGGCAGCTGTTTGAACCCTGAAACTGAGGTTGCCATTGTTGCAAAATCTTGTGCATAAAAAAAAAAAAGGAAAGCTCTTTTGTACAGAGAAACAACAGACTGTAGAGAACTTTAACATTATTATCTCCTTTCCAGCTTCTTTTCTAGTCTTTTAAAATATTTTGATTTTATATTGTTTATATTGCTAGAGTAATGCAATTACAGGAATGGGGCCACAGCTAGGGAGAGTAGGAAGCTATTAAAGAGAAGATAATACATTCTCTCCTAGAGCATACAGAAGGAATGCAGCCTTGCTGACACTTTGATAGGCCTGGTAAGACCTATTTTGGACTTATGATCTCTAGAACTAAAAGATAATAAATGTGTTGTTTTAAGCCACTAAATTTGTAGTAATTTGTTATAGCAGCAATAAGAAACTAATACAGGTGAGCTAAAAGGCAGTTCCTCTGCAACATTTAACTTACCATTGTCCAAATTTTTCTTAAGGAAATTTTTTAAAATTATTTTTGTTATAGCTGAATACAATACCTTTGTTTTATTTATTTATGTTTATGTGGTACTGAGGATCAAACCTGGTGCCTCACACATGCTAGACAAGTCTGTACCACTGAGCCACAGCCATAGCCCTCCTTAAGGAATATTTAACTTTCAGTTCTATGTAGATTTGACTGAGAGAACTTCAGAGTTGAGGGACCTTATGAAGAAATTGAGATAAAAGACTTGTCAAATGTTACTTGGATAGTCAGTTGTTGAGTCGGGATAAGATCCCAACTCTCCAACCTTTCACCTATGTTCAATAGTAACCATAAAATGTCCAACAAAGAGGCTAGTTTGTAGAAGGCACTCAGTAAGAGCTAGAGGTTTTGTTTTGTTATTACTCATTTTCCTTTGTAATTTACATTAATATTTCATTCTTTTGAAAATGCCAACTAAGGAGGTACCCTGTAGTCACATTTTAAAAATTATCAAAAAGCTAAAAGGACAATGAGTGAATGAATCACCTGGCCAAGAAGCAAAGGAGAATAGGACACAACACATTAAGAGTAATTCTGCCTTAGGGCATTATCAAACACCAAAAAAGATAGCTTGAGACAGCTGCACTTTTGACAAAATATGGATGGGGTCTAAAACCTTCCAACAGTGGTGACCCTGGTAAATCATGCTTTTAGGCTGGTGCTTGGAAGTAAAGGCAAACCAAAATAAGTCAAGATAAAAGCCAAGGCTGACAAAGTTGCCAATGAATTAGATACTATAGAAATAAACCTTAATATTGTTTTTTTAAAAAAACATTTTTAGTCATAGATGGACACAATTCCTTTATTTTATTTGTTTATTATTTTATTTTATGGTACTAAGGATCGAACCCAGTGCCTCACACGTGCTAGGCAAGTGCTCTACCACTGAGCCACAACAGAAATTCTAGAACCTAAAATTACAAAAATAATTGCAAAATTAATATCTCAATAGGTAAAATATTAACATCACAGAAGAGAGAACCAGTAATCTAGCAAACATATCAAAAAACAGGCTACCAAAAAGAAGCATAGGGAGACAAAGGAATGGGGCAGGTTAGAAGATAGCCAATCATAATAACTAGTGTTTATGGTCCCAGTACTCAGGAGGCTGAGTGGGAGGAGCATTTGACCAACAAGGGCAACATATCCAGGCTCTGTCCCCCCAACCCCCACAAAAAAAGAAAAAAAAAAGGATTAGAGAAATAGGAAAAAAAAATATTAGATTTATAGAAAGGGAGGGGCAGAAACAATATTTGAAGAGGTAATAACTGAGAATTTTCTTTTTTTTTTTTTTTGTTTTTTGTTTTACACAGTATCATATACATATTATTTGTTTTCCAGAATACAGTTACTCTCATACTCTTTTGTTCCATGACATGAAAGGGAAATTTCTTCAGTGGTTCCATAACCTCTAATTCTAGTTAACATTAAATTAACATACAGGTTTTTCTTCTAGAAACTAAAGTGATTCCTTTATTATTTTTTTAAATATTTATTTTTAAATTGTAGTTGGACACAATACCTTTATTTCACTTATTTATTTTTGTGTGGTGCTGAGGATGGAACCTAGGGCCTCGCACATGTGAGTGCTCTACCAGTAAGTCACAACCCCAGCCCCTGATTCCTTTATTTTAAGAGGATAAAATTAGAAAAGATGGCCAAGATTTTTCCAGAACTCTTGAATTATGTCAATCCATATATTCAAAATCTTTGGTGAATCCAAAGCATCATAAAAAACACAATTAACTTTCAAACACAATAGTGAAAGAGTAGAAAAACCGAAGTCTAAGAGAAAAAAAATCTTAAAAGCATCCAGAAAAAAAGGACTAACTGCCTTCCAAGAAACAGTAGACCCACTGACAGCTGACCTTTCATAGGCAACAATGGAAGCCAGAAACTTGGAATGATTTTTGTGTACTGAAGGAACATAAACTGCTTCTATTGCCACATTTCCTCTTATTCTATTGTTTTCCTCTTTCACTAATGAAGGACTCCTGGGATCACTTTGTTCTCACCAGGCAATCAAGGATAATCTCTCTGTCTCAGAATCCTTAACTTAATCATATCTATAAAGTCTGTTTTGCCTTGTAAGGTAACATGTACACAGGTTCCAGGGATCAGGACATGAACCTCTACGGTGGGCCATTATTCTGCCTATAACACACCAATCTAAAAAATTGCTGTCATTCAGTGACTCTTTTCTTCTCTAATACTCCATGGAGGAAAGCAAATTAGTATTTCCAAAAAGCAGAGGAGGGATACTTTGCATAGTATCTCATTTAATCTACCATCAACCTTAGACTTCAGTGAGGTAGACATTACCCAATATTAAAGATTCTGAGATAGAAGACAAAAGTAATTTGCTTGAGGTCATCTAGCTGGTTAAATGTCTGATTAGAAATTTGTACTGTGATTACCAGATTGGTTTCCATGACAGCAACCAAGCTTTTCCCACTATACCAAATACAGATGTTGCTTGGCTTATTGTAGAATTTCTGATCAGTCTGTCTCTGAGGAAACACTCAAATGTGTGGGGTGCTGATTTGGTACCAGGAATTGAATCCAGGGGCACTTTACCATTGAGTCAAATTCCCAGCCCTTTTTATTTTTTTATTTTGAGGCAGGATCTCACTAAGTTGCTTTGGGCCTCGCTAAATTGCTGAGACTGGCCTTCAATTTGCAATCCTCTTGTCTCAACCTCCCTGGCATTTAGCACTAGAGCTACCCTCCACCCCCATGTGTGGGGTTTTAAACGATTGAATAATAAAGAAAAAATGTTTGGGATGGTAGATGGAGGTTCAAACTGGAGAGAGATCTTTGAATAAAATATTGGTGGCAAAAAGCTCTTACCCTGGGCTGGAATCATGACTCAGTGGTAGAGCGCTTGCCTAGCAGGTGTGAGACTCTGGGTTTGATCCTAAGTACCACATAAAATAAATGAATAAATAAAAGGTATTGTATCCATCTACTATATATAGTAGATGGATACTATATATATATATTTTTTTCTTTCTTTCTTTTTTAAAGGGATGGGGATATAGCTAAGTTGGTAGAGTGCTGGCCTTGCATGTACGAGGCCCTAGGTTCAATCCCCAGCACCACAAACAAAACAAAACAAAGCAAAACAACAACAACAACAACAAAACTATTTCTTCTGTGACCCTGGTCAAATCAGTTAGGTTCCCTTAGGCCTCAGTCCTCGCATCAGTAAAACGGGAAGTTTGGACCTAAAGGTTCTCCTTTGACTTGGATATTCCATCAGTCTAAGATAAAAAGCCCTTGGCCTCAAGATAACCTCTACCTTGTGTAGGCTCTAAAATGAAGTTAGAAGCATCTGAACTATGCCAGAGAAGACCTACTGCAGATCTAAGGAGGAAAAAAATGAAGGTAACTGGAGGTTGGGGTGGGGGAGAAGAGATGGAAGAAGCTGATGACTATGACAGACGGTAAGAGAAGGAAACATAAAAAGTATGCAAATAACTCAAAAAAACCACCAACGGGTATCTAGCGCTTATGATGCAAATAAAACTGCTGTTCTGAAGATGCAGGAATAAGGCATTGTTCTTGGTCTCGAGGCTCTCACAGAATGCCGGGGATTGCTCTTTCTATTTAACCGTGGACATATAACCCTCATCTCTAGAACCCTTGGTTGTGAGAAATGTAAGAAAATGTGAAAACGAAAATATTTTTGTAAATGTTTATGTGCTAGAGGCAACGTGGACAGTCTCTAGAAACAAACGGGACCCCCTGGTAAGCTAGATGCGCTAGTAGCACAAGGAAATTGTCCCCCCGCTGCTCCGCCCACGGGCTTAGACCAGACACAAAAGAAACGGGCTCTGAGCTCGGAGGCGCAGCCCTCCCCCTCAGCATCGGAGCGGCAGGGCTGCAGCGCCCCGGCTGCCCGGGCTCCCGCCCCCGCCCCCGTCCCTCGGGCCTCGGAAGTGACGCAGCGCGCCCCGCCCCCGCTGCTAGATCCGCTGCTGCTGCCGCGGCGGGCGAACCTGCAGGAGGCGGCGGCAGCGGCGGCGGCCGAGGCCGAGAGGAAGATGGCGGACGGTGTGGACCACATAGACATTTACGCGGATGTGGGCGAAGAATTCAACCAGGTACGTGAGGCCCTGGGTCCCCGCCGCCGCCGCGGGCGACACTGCGGCCTGGACGCCGGCTGGGGCCCGCCGCGGACCGCGAGCCGGTGCGGCTGCAGACCGTGCGCCCTTGCCGCCTCTGGGCCGCGCCGCTTGACCCCGGCGCGGCGCCCCTCGCCCTCCGTTCTACCGCGTCGTTTCGCGGGCTGCGGGGCCTGGAGCGCGGATGCGGGCCGCGGTGCAGCCGCCGCCGGCCCCTCCCTCGCCGCCGCCTCACTCCCCATTGTTGGTGGCGGCCAGCGAGCGCTTCCCGCCGCGCTAGGCCGCGTGTGCGGGGCGGGGAGAACGGGCCGCCGCGCCCCCTCCCCCGCCGCGGCTTGTGAAGAAAGCCCGGCGGGGCGCGCGCCCGCTGCCGCCTCTAGCCCTGCCCTGCCGCCCGGGCTCCGATTTCTCCCGTCGCTCCATTTTGTCTGCCTGTCCGCGCACGGTCGCCTCATGGAAGGCCGCGTTCACAGCCCTTTGTATCCCGCGCGCCCAGTCCCCGGGGCTCCTGCTCGCGTTTGCGACAGGTTTCGGCGTGGCGCCTTCCTCCTCCTCACCTCTCCCTGTGTGAAGGCGGCTTTAGGGGTGGGCACTTCTGCAACAAGTCGTCTGACTTAGGGCGCAGAGATGGTATTTAAAAGTCAGTATGCGGGCCTGGCTCATCAATCGAAAGCTTTTCAGTGCCTTGAAGGCCCTGTCGTTCTTGGCTTTTGACATGAAAATACCTGTGAAGATAACTGGCTTGGGCCAAAAGGAAGACTCGGAAGCGCGGTGGTTGGATAGAACAAAAAGATGGTAGCTCATCAACAGATCAGAGTGATTAAAACGAAGAAAGAACGTCCATCCGAAATTCTTACGGTATATTTGAAAAATAGGGTTGTGGGTATGACCCTATATTTGAAAGCAAAGTGTTTCACCCCCGAGGGTTCAGCTTAACGTTTTTGAAAGTCTGGAGAAAGGGAGAATGCAAGGTTTTCCCGTTGTCTCAGGCCACGGTTTGCCTAGAATTAGCTGTGGAGCTGAGATGTCTGAGGATGAGCATCCTTGCAAAAGCTCTCCCGTTTGTTACTGGAGTGGTGACGTTTAAGCCCTTTTACCTGCTGTTAACATCTTTACCGCATTTTATGTAGTAACATTTTAGAAAATCAAATCGTGCCTAACCGCAGTGCACTTAAAAGCTTTTATTTTATTTTATTTTATTTTCCAGGTCCGTGTGAGAAGCTTAATACAATTCCGTTGGTTTATGTGCCCGCCCCTATTAAGTCCTATTTGTAATTAGGGGCTCAAGATTTTTAAAAATATGAAAACTCAGAAATCCTTACTGTTGTATTTTTTAGGAGTGACTTTGTGCCTCTGGTTTAAATATTAAAAAAGCAATTACCATAAGCTTTAAATATTTACTACTACTCGGTTAAAGACTGGATATGTTTAAATGTAATCCATTGTAATAAAATGTTAAGCTTGAAAATCTGTTTCTGTGCTTGTATTTTGAATACCCAATATTGTGTCAAAATTGGAAAGTTTCCTTGACTGCTACACAGATTTTAATGCTTTTCAGATCACAGACCTCTAGGAAATTTCCTTTATTTGTGAGTATTAACATTACATCCTAAAGATGACCTTAACATCGAGGAAAGGAACAATTAAGTGTTCAGGACTGTCTGCATTAGCCTTTCTTACAAGAGTACAGTGCTTCACCTTTCAATGCACCCAATTTTAGTAGTTGAGCCTTGTTTAGTACCTCTTCATGGAATATTTTTAGGCTTTTGAATACTTAATTTGGGAGGGACATTTCCCATTGAAGAATGATACTCTCTTATCCCTGTGCAGTAACTAGTGCTAGACAAGAGGTTAAAAAAGATGAAAATTAGTGGACCCAATGAAGAACTACTATGTAGGCTTTTTAAAATGTAATTTTTCATTGATTTGTACCTACAGCATTATTCTAACACATAGTTATAACTTGACTAGTGAAATCTTTATGTGTTTGAATAGATTAATGGGGAGATTAAATAGAAGTGTGTTGTTATTTTGCATATAATTGACTTAATCTGCTTGCTCCACTAATTCCTGAACCAAAAATGTCTACAAGAGGATTGATTGCTGGTCTTTTTCAAGATTACTATCATTGAAATATTTTTTGAAGTCCTATCAGAATTAAAGGCAACCACAAAATTATTTTATTTAGTCTGTACTCTTATTAGCAGATCACCTTTTTTCTCCTAGCTGCTGTAGTAACCTGTGACTTGTATTTGAGCTGAGTAAAATCTTTTATAGTACCATTAGCCAGTCTTGTTTTGGCTTCTCAGCTGCTTTAATTTTTTTTTTTATCTTCGGTTTCCAGTGTGAGCTACAGTTTTAGTTGGATTTGTGTACTTGGAAATTCTGTGAGGTCATGTATTTTCCATTTTCCACTATTTTAAGTGGTCATGTTTTTGTTTTTTGTTTTGGTATTTCACTCATTTCAAAAAGACATTCAACAGTCTTTAGAAGAAACTAATTTGGAGATGGAGTGAGAAAAAGTCAGTGAAACTATACAGTAGAATTCCTTTCTTAACCAAATTAATTTAAGAATGGAGAATCAAGGGGAGAAGACACAGGAACTGACTATTATTCATGGGTGCCCTTTAGTTCTTAAATTGAAAGGTTTTGGATGCCATCAAATTGGGAATAGTTGCATTAATGGAAGAAGAATTTGAATCACTTCTGACTCTATCTACATTACTTGAATTTAGAATTGAGCAGAAAAAAGTTTTGTTTGTACTTTGAACCGGGATTTGTATTACAGTGTAATAACTAGTCTAATATTTAGTAATTCCAGGTGTTTTTTTTTTTTTTGCCAAAGCTAAATAATAATTTTAAATATTCAGTTGTTAAGGATGACATTTCTTTCTTTGTTTCTTTTGGGTACCCGGGATTAAACTCAGGGGCACTTGACCACTGAGCCACATCCCCAGCCCTATTTTTTTTTGAGAGACAGGGTCTCCCTGAGTTGCTTAGTGCCTAGCTTTTGCTGAAGCTGTCTTTGAACTGGGGAACCTCCTGCCTCAGCCCTATTATATGTGCCAACAAAGGTTACAAAGTTTAGATAGTCTCTACACTCCCAATGGGTGGAGTAAAATAATTACATAATTACAATATAGGTCCTATATTGTAGTTACCCCTTTTTTATGTATATACCTGTAGAATTTTCAGCTATGAGGAGGAATCAAGAAAAAGTCTATGAACTTTGAGGAAAATTAAGACAAGTTGTATGTCCCCTACCTAAATGCTAAAGAAGCATTTCAGTTTGGAGTTTTTCAGGTTTAATAGTTGAGCATCATTAATCTGAAATTGGAAATGCTCCAAAATCTAAAACTTGTTGAGGCATGTGTTGGTGCTCAAAACGTTTTAAATTTGGGGATTAGGGATATTCAACTTTGTGCCTTGATGTAGAATGTATTTTTCTTGTTTAGGACGTCAAAAGATCTTAATGTAGAATATAATTTCTCATCTGTCAGGCTGTGGGTCACTGATAGCAATGCTAATTTAGTAATCTGACCTCCCAACTTTAAGATAAAAGTATACAGACTTGGTGGTTGTTTAAAAAAATATGTAAATACACACACACACACACACACATATATATATATATATATGTATATATATATATATATATATATATATATATATATTCTTTAGGCGTTAAGGACCTAGACATCCTCACAAGCCACTTTTCGTTCATGAGTGATTTTGCTTTGTATTTAGTTATGTTTTTACTCTAGCCAGTAATGGGAAATACTTTTATTGGGCAAATATCAGTGAAACATTTCTGATAAATTTGCTTATGCTTAATAGAAAATGGTTTCAAGATAAGTCTGTAATGTCCAGAATGAGGTATATTAGAGATTGATTCAGAAACATGAATAGAAATGTTTAGGGGAGTTAGAACTCTACTTTGGTTTTACTATGATCATAGTTAATTTGGGTACCCGGGATTAATTGCACACTTTGTGGGTTATATGGCATATTTTTAGTATCAAGTTGGCTTCCTTAGTATTAGTTGAGCTTTTCACAGGGGTTACAAACTAATTTTAATATTAGAACATAATCCAAAAGTGATAATTTTAAAAAAATATAGCCCTCTAGTGGGTTCCACATCCATGGATTCAACCAACCACAGATCTAAAATATTTTGGGTAATATTTGCATCTGTACTGAATATGTACAGGCATTTTTCATGACATTATTCCCTGAATAGTATGTCAACTATTTACATAGTGTTTACATTTTATTAGATATCAGAAGTAAACCTAGAGAAGATTTAAAATGTGAAAGCATGTGTATAATTTATATGCAAAAAAACCCCATATATACATGGGACTTAAGCCTCTGCAAAGTTTGGTATTTCCAAGTGGGTTGGTTGCAGGGTTGGGGTGGTTGCAGGGTTGGGGTGGTACGTTGGAAACAATCACCTGCTGATAATGAGCATGACTGTTATTTACTACTGGATTTTGTGTGCAAGTAGTTTTCTTCCATGGTGTAGAATACATTTTGTAACTCTCCTCCTTTTATAGTTTCCTAAATGGAAATGACTATAAAAGTCCATTACTTTTTTTGTTTTATAGTAGAAGGACTTTAAAACAAGTGGCCCTTGCTGTGTGTTACTGATTAGTGTCCTATAATTCACAAAAGATATTAACCATGATTTTAGGACCCCTAAAACCATTGTTAAAACCCATCAGGGAGAATGAAGAATATTTTGATAGCCCAAGGTAATCCCAATAATGGAATATAGTATATATGTGATATTAAAATTTTATAGGGAGTAACTAGGGAAAAACTGCCAAAATACAGCTCTTTGAAGGGAGGGAGAATGGGGCTAATGAAAAAACAATTGTGAAAGATTATTTTAAGGAAATTAGTAGGATGTTGGTCTATCTATCATATATTTGTTTTTTCTGACATGGAAACAGCAGTTTTGTATCATGTAGGACAAAATCTTGAGAGGATACCCTGCCTTTAGAATGATTGTAGTAATTTAGATTGGTAGAGAATGAAAAAAATTACTTAGTGAAAATTTTCAACAAGTCCTAAGTGCTGTTGCTTACTAGGAGTTATATACCCCTTTACTAGTGATTTGCTCGCTCCCATGAAAAGTGGATAAGATTGGGGAACTTTGGGTATTTAAAATAATTAGAGGGATTATATTGAAATTTTCTCATATTTGAATGCCATTAAAATTAAAGTAATTGAAAAGACCCTTCACATAGAACTTGACACTGTTGAGTACTTATCTTTGACAAAGTAGAAACATTTGTTTTTTAGTTTGTTCAGTATATTTCAGAGTTTGCTTTCTTTATAGATGACCAGTGATATTTTGCATAATTTCAGAATATGCATATTTTCTCACTTGATTGAATTGGGAGTAAAGTGGATGTGCTATATATTTTGTAATGTAAAAGATAAGTATGATATAATGAAGCGGAAAAGATTATTGATACAACAAAAGAATATTGCTTTGAGTTGAATTTTTAGAGATGGTGGCAAATGTATTCAGATTCATTAATATTTTTTTCACCAAGTCGAAGTGTATACCATTGGGGTTAGGAGTACTGGCTGTGGCCTTGGAACAGAGTGAAGCTAACTAGTCAACATGGAGATTAAATCCCAGGACCATGGTCTCATTTAGAATCATACTTCAACCATTTGGAAGCAGTCCAACTACCAGACAAAGTGGCTAATTCTATATTGGTAGAATCATAGCAATATGTAAAATTGGTTGATGTCAACATAGGAATTCATGGACTTGCAAAAAATAGTAAGTGATTATAATGTACCAGGTTAGTGTAGCTGCAATCAATGTTGTAAATTAATGTCTATTCGTGTAAACATTTTCATAGATTTCCAACTAATGAAAAATACAATGTCTTTTTGTGTAAGTGGAAGTATAAATTTAAATATTAGTCTTATTATTAATAACACTTGCATTCTTTTTTACTCTCCCTCAGACCATATATTGTGATTAGTCTCTGCTGAGGAGGATGGAAACACAGCTCCCTTTGAATAATAAAAATAACTCTACTTGATGTACAGAACTGGATTGCAAGAGAGTTTAAAGTGCCCACTATCTCTTGTGGAAGCTTTTTAGTATTTTTAAGTGTATGGAACCACTGCTGCAGCCACGCCACCTGAATGAAGCTTCAGCAACACTGAAACTTCATACCAAAACACTCCTTTTTTTTCTAGTTTTAACTGTCACTGCACTTTGAATATGTTAAATTAACAAAAACTAATATCTTAGAGATATTTTGGTATTGCTGTGTAATAAAGTAATGGCATTATTTAGTGATTTTTGGTCTTAGTTTCTGCCCATTGCTAAAGATGGCTTTAGTCACTTAATATTTTGAACCCCTTATTAAATAAGTCTTAAACTCTAGCTCATAACAAATAAAATTGGTATGTAAAAGATTCTCTAGTAAACTGGATAGCTCATTATTTATGAAGATCACCTGAAGATGACATTAGAAATTTGAGGTCCCTTGGGTTATGGTATTTACCCTTCTGGGTTTTTTGTTTTTGTTTTTCTTTTGCTTTGTTTTTAAAGAAAACTTATTCTGACTCAGAACAAAACAATAGCCATGTTCCCTTGTGGACCACAGTAATATCTAACTATTCTGTTTGCCATCATGTAACAAATGCTTTCTCTAGGTCATTTATTCATGTAGTTGTCCCTAAAACTATTAGTTCTTCCTTATATGCCATTTGTATGACAATTCCTTAATAAATTGTATAAATGGATAGATTATACGAATGATGTCCGAACTTTTGGTTGTCTTATATTTGTCTTTTCTTTTTACCTCAAATGTTCTATCTCATAAGAATAAAAACAGTTTATACTGATTTTAAATACGTAGTCTTGGAAAGGGAGGAAGATAAAAATGGAGATTTTTCTTTGCTACAGGGTTAGTTAAGGTTGTGGCCCAGTAATCATTACTAACGGCAATTAAATGGTGTTGCATGTTCTGCTGAATCCTACACTGCATTTTTTTTTGTGCTTATTTACAAATTAATATTTTCTTACATTTTCTCTGGGTTGCATATCTATTTCTTTTTTGTTTTCCTTCTTCCTCAATTATCATTGACACCCATTAGCATTGCTTTAGTTCTGCTGGTGACAATCATTGGCAGAGTTTTACTAAATCTTTATTCTAGTAAATATTTTTCTCTTGCTAATTTACTTGACTAGATATTTAAAAAGTCAGGTAAGCACTAGCTCTTTGTTGACTTGAAATAAGGTACTAATTTTAATTGTTTGACCTATATTTCATTGTTTTTCTAGATAATTTATTATGGCATTTTAAATCATGTACCCACCCACATTTCTATGACCTTTTCCTATAGTTCAACTGACTGTCTTTTTCTAAAACTCTAGTAACTTTCTCAGGGTTGGGAAACAAGGTCTGAATGCTATAGAAAATTAGTTATGTTCTTCTGTGTTCAAATATTAAGAACTTAAAATGGCTTTGGGTTTTGTTATAGTCTTATGCCAAATATTCTTTTAAAATTTGTCTACTAATATTCGTGTATTGTTATTTAAGAAACACTTCATCCAAGGAAGGTTTTAGTTATAGTCACCATTCAAGAATACATCTGTTGCATAAAGTAAGAAAAGACTTGTGATCTTTGGGACTTTTTTTTAGCTTCCATCATGATTTTAAAATAAAAAGAAGAGTTGAATGAATTTGTGTTCAAGTCTGTTTAATATTCTGACCATTGTATAATCTGGAGCATTATTTCTATACTCAGGAAGCGGAATATGGTGGGCATGATCAGATAGATTTATATGATGATGTCATCTCTCCATCTGCAAATAATGGAGATGCCCCAGAAGACCGGGATTACATGGATACTCTCCCTCCAACTGTTGGTGATGATGTTGGCAAAGGAGCAGCACCAAATGTTGTCTATACCTATACTGGAAAGAGAATTGCATTATATATTGGAAATCTAACATGGGTAAGTAAAGTTAACATATGAACTGAGTTATTAGTCATTAATTGTAAACCGCTCTAGTAGTTTGTTTTTGTCCCAGAATTTTTTTTTTTCCTTTGGTACCAGGGATTAAACCCTGTGGTGCCCCCTCCCCAGCCCTTTTTATTTTTAATTTTGAGACAGGTCCCACTAAGTTGCTGAGGCTGGTTTTGAACTTGTATCCCCCTGCCTTGGCCTCCTCATTTGCTATGGTTACAGGCGTGCACCATTGAGCCCATTTTGTTTCTTTATGTTTGCTTATGCAATAAGAACGTTAAAAACACTTATCTTTAAAAAGTCATTGATTTAATTCTTCCTAGTTTTGAATTTTGTAGACCTTCATTTTGTCTTGGGTGGACATACCAATTAATTATAGTTAAATTTTTTTTGTCTTTAATTATGCTTTATATGTTACTACTCCTACCTGACTTAGGGTGTTCCAATTAAGAAAAATGTTTGCATAGGGTCTCAAACTAGGATTTATCAATGTAGAAAGAGACATATATTACCACTCCTGATTTTAAAATATTGTTAATTTCCCAATTCATATTATAGACTGTTGATTTGAAATCTGAATGTCCAATATCTCTATTTGTTTATTTATTGGTGTTAAACGTGAAATACCCATAAAAGTAATCCAGGTAGAATTTTTCCACTTAAGCTGTTATATAAATTTGAAAGTTTAAAAATAATGTACTACAAATCAAATTGACACATGGCACTCTTCTACTTCCTTAATAAAAATATGTTTTTATTAATATTTACTACTTTAATAAAAAATAATTATTTTTAGTAAGAATGTCTTTAATTTTTACTGAACAGTCTTTTCAAACTAAGTGACTGATTTTGTACCACTTAGTTTGCCATTCAGAGCAATCTTTGCAGTGTTGAAAATAATAGCATAGTTAAGAGAGTGGTTGCTAAGTAAAAATTTGAATCTTGGTTCCACGGTCTTGATTTTGTGACTTTGGGCAAGCTTTTTACCTTCCCTATTGCGTCAAATGTAAAAAAATGGAAATGATGGGATTTACCTGTGTTTTAACAGTTAACCACTTGTCTTTATTTCCTTTATTTTTTCTCTACTGTAAAACATTTTATTTGTTTTTTATCTTTTCCCACTAGATTGTTAGCTGTATGAGAGCAGAAATTTTGTTTTCGTATCCAGCCCTAGAATGGTGCTGGCATATAGGTGGTACATAGATATGTAGAAGGTACTCATACATATTAGTTTATTTTCTCCAGGTTTTTTTTTTAATATTTATTTTTTAGTTATAGTTGGTCACAATACCTTTATTTCACTTATTTATTTTTATGTGGTGCTGAGGATTGAACCCAGGGCCTCATGCGTACAAGGCAAGCGCGCTACCGCTGAGCCACAACTCCAGCCCACTTTTCTCCAGTTTATATTCAAACACAAGATGAAATTTATTTCACAAAATATTTTCCTTTAAGGGAGGAAGTGACAAGTGAAATTGGTTTTATTGAAAACTTAAAATCAGAGTAGTTTAAAGCTGAAAGAGGTTAGGTTTCCAGATTCTTTTGTGGAGCTGAAATCTAGTAATTAGATTTCTATTGAGTGTGAATTTTCTCTTGTTTAACTTGAGTTTACCTTTAAAACCTAAATTCGAGAAATAAAAATCCTGGGTATGTTTTAATAGTTAATAAGTGGAAAATATCTTGCAGTGGACAACAGATGAAGACTTAACGGAAGCAGTTCATTCTTTGGGAGTAAATGATATTTTGGAGATAAAATTTTTTGAAAATCGAGCAAATGGCCAATCGAAGGGGTAAGAATTTTGTGTTGTTTTTATAATAAAATTTAAGTTAGATTTTGATTGCAATGTGTGTTAGTTTTCCTTAAGGTTAATGCTAATTACATGTGCATAAGACATGATTACATTGGAAGGAGGATCTTTGGTAAAGATTCATACTCATTTCATATACCTTGTTATTTAGCACACTAAAAAAATGGGCAAGATAAGGCTTACTTTCAAATTTTCCTGAGTTTTCTTCATCTATGGTTGAAATAACAATTTTAAGAAGCATTGCTCTTCCTGTGGATTAAGAGATGGAAGCCTGGTGCAGTGGCGCATGTTTATAATCTTGGTGACTCAGGAAGCTGAGACAGGAGGATTGTTAAATTCCAGGGCAAGCTCAGCAATTTAGTTATAGTTGGTCACAATACTTTTATTTCACTTATTTATTTTTATGTGGTTCTGAGGATTGAACCCAGGGCCTCATGCGTGCAAGGCAAGCGCAGTCCTTATTTTTTAGATCATCTGAAAAATAAGTAAGGACTACAGATGTAGCTAAGAAGTAAAGCATCCTTGGGATTCATTCCCCAAAACTACTAAAAGAGAGAGGGCTGGAGTTGTGGCTCAGCAGTAGAGCGCTCATCTAGCATGTGCGGGGCCCTGGGTTCAATCCTCAGCACCATATGAAGATAAATAAATAAATAAAGGTGTTGTGTCCAACTACAACTAAAAAATAAATATTAAAAGAGATGAGGTGAAAATGAACACTGGAAAATGATCTAATCTGGACATTTTGCTTTCTTTTCTTTTCGGAGGAGGTACTGGGGATTGAACTCAGGGGCACTTGACCACTGAGCCACACCTCCAGCCCTGTTTTGTATTTTATTTAGAAACAGGGTCTCACTGATTATATTAGTGCCTCGCCTTTGCCAGGGCTGGCTTTGAACTTGCAGGCCTCCTGCCACAGCCTCCCAAGCCACTGGGATTATAGGCATGCGCCACTGCGCCCAGCTATTAATACCAAACTGTACAAATGATATAGGATCATTGTAGAAATATTGGAAACTCCAAGCTTCCAAAAGTAAGAAAACACTGCAATCTCACCATATACAGATAATCGTATTTTAGTGAATATACTTTCAGGTTTTTTCCTAAAGCAACAGTTTCTAAATTCACATATTTTATAACTTGTTTGATATAAAGAGTAGAACAAATATTTAGCAATAAATACACATCTTAACATTCTTATTCTTAGTTACTTTGGATTTTTTTTTTTTTTTTTTTTAAGGATAAATTTTTAGACACAGAATGATAAAGAATATGCTGGGTTTTTGTTGTTGTTTAGTTCTCTAAAAAGGTTGTACTAGTTTATAGTAAATTAAGAATATCTTCAAAATTTGCAGTCTGATCACCATCCTTATCTCCTGTTCCAAGGCACTATCATCTCTCTCTTGAACTTTTGCAGTTGTTTCCAAACTGGTGTCCCTTCTATCACTCTGTGTCCTGTACTGCACATGATAAAAGTTTTTTAGCTTTAAATAATGTTAGACCAACATCAATACTTTTCTACTCAGAATCCAGACGGCTTCCTGTCTCATAGTTGTTACCTTGCTATATCTATAGTGCTCTGTGATCTATTGCTGTTTTCCTATATGTCAGTCTTGTGTTTCTTGGCAATATTAGGCTCCTTGTTTTTCAAATAACTCTCTATATAAGACCCTTAGCTGTTCACCCCACCCCACTGGTCCCCCAGCTTTTTTGTGGTGCTAGGGTTTGAACCCAGGGCCTTGGGCATACAAGGCAATCACTCTACCAAGTGAGCTATATATCCCCAACCCTGTTTACTTTTCTTGACCCGATTTCCCCCCAAACACCACATGGCTCACTCTTTTATTCATTCTAGACTCAGACTTTTTAGTAAGAATTCCCTTTCTTGGCCACCCTGTACAATATAGTAAATTTCTTAACCTGTCTATCTATTTTTTCTCTACTATAAAACATTTTATTTACTTATTAACTTGTCTTTTCCCACTAGATTGTAAGCTCCATGAGAACAGAAATTTTGTTTTATTCACTGTTGTGTATCCAGCTAGAATGGTGCTGGCATATAGAAGATGGTGCTCAATGTGTAATTGTTAAATGAATTATTTTGCTTTTGTTTTTAATTTTTAATGCTGGGGATTGAACCCAGGATCTGGCACATGTTAAGCCCATACTCTGCTACTGGACTGTACCCTCAGTCCCAATTAAGTTGTTTCTAAATGTTGTGACCCAAGATAATATTAGATCAGCAACAGAATTTTTTGGCTAGAATAAGGGATCTCGTTAAGAATAAGAACCATATTGAAAATTAGGGCTGTAAGCTCCTAAAATCCTTACCCCCAGTAATCTTGAATTTCTATATTTGAAATTGATAATCATTTAGGGTTTTAAAAATTATTTTTATTATTGAAATATAATTTACACAACATAAAATATATTCCTATAAGGTGTATAATTCAGTGGCTTTTTGTTTTTGTTTTTTGTTTTTAGCATATTTACAAAATTGAGCAATCATGGCTACTATCTAATTTCAGAAACTCTATGCCTATTGTTAGTCACTCCCTAATTTCTTTCCCCCTCTTTGCTTACAACCACTAATGTACTTTCTATATCTGGATTTGCCTGTCTTGGCTATTTCATGTAAGTTAAATCATAAAATATGCAGTCTTGTGTATCTAGCTTTTTTTCACTTAGAATGATGTTTTCAAGATTTACCCATGTTATTGCAGGTATTAGCTTTTCTTTTTATGGCCAAATAATGTCCCATTATGTGGATGTAGCACTTTTTTTTAATATTTGTTTTTAATATATTGGTAATGGGAATTGAACCCAGGGGTGCTTTTGTCACTGAGCTCCATCCCCAGCCGTTTTTTTTTTTTTTTTTTTTGAGACAGGTCTTGCTAAGTTGCTGAGAGCCTTAGCCTCCCAAGTCTCTGGGATTATGGGTTTGCACCACTGCAATATAGCACTTAAGAAAACAACAACAAAACTCCTTGATGAACATTTGGGTTGTTTCCACTTTGTGTTCTTACTGAAAACATCCCTGTGAATATTTGTGTACCAGTTTTGTATAAACATCTTTTCATTCTGTGGGTTTATATCTAGGAGTAGCAATATTGGGTTATATGGCAGCTCTATATTTAATGATTTGAGGAGCCACTAGATTGTTTGCCAAAGTGGTTGCATGATTTTATATGCCCATCATCAATGCACAAGGATTCTAGTTTCTTCATATTCTCACTAGCATTTGTTAAACATCTTTTTTATTATAGTCATACTAGTGAGTATGAAATGGTATTTCATCGTTGTTTGATTTGTTGAACATATTTCATGGCAGTAAAAAGTGAAAATAACATAAATGCCTGTGAACTGTATGGATTTTTTTTAAAAAGTTATATGTCTATAATATTAGTCATAAAAAATGAAGTGCTCATACTACAACATAGATGAACCTTGAAAATATTAAGGTTGGGGCTGGGGCTGTAGCTCTGTGACAGTGCTTTCCTAGCACTTGCAAGACACTGGGTTCGATCCTTAGCACCACATAAAAAAGGAAATAAAATAAAGGCATTCTGACCATCTACAACTACAAAACCCAGTTTTTTGGGAAAAAAAAAAGTATTAATGCTAAATAAGAGAAGCTGGTCATAAAAGAAGACACATTGTATAATATCATTCATATGAAATTTCAGAATATGTAAATTCACACATACAGAAAGTGGAATTGTGGTTCCCTAGGATTGAGGGATGGGAGGAAATGAGAGTGATGGCTAACGGGGTATGGAGTTTCATTTGGAGGGTAATGAAAATGGTCCACAATTGACTATGATGATGGTGGTAAAACTCAAACTGAAAGCCACTGAAATGTACATTTTAAGTGAGTGAGTTCTGTATTAAATAGGTATGAAAGTGTAAACTTGTGTAACTTTAAGAAATATTCTCAGGATTGTGTTTTGGTTTTACATAAAAGTAAGTTCAGACACTTTCTTTTTAATAACATTATCATTATTTATTCCTCCTTACTTTTATACCTCTACCCCTTTAAACACCTTTTAGATTTGCCCTCGTTGGTGTTGGATCTGAGGCATCTTCAAAAAAGTTAATGGATCTGTTGCCTAAGAGAGAACTTCATGGTCAGAATCCTGTTGTAACTCCCTGCAATAAACAATTCCTGAGTCAGTTTGAAATGCAGTCCAGGAAAAGTAAGCAATCTCTTAGGTCTTTTTTTAAAGATGTGTATTTTAACCATTGTTTCTACCATTTGTTAGGTGTTATATACTTAGTCTTAATATTTAGTTCTTTGAAGACTTGTTTTTATAAAGTTCATGCTTTGAATTGATTTAATTACTGGTTTTGACTGTGTATCCACATACTGGACCCCTACTTCCATTCCATTTTTCGCCAGATGTCAGACTCAATACTACATGATAGTGTGTAAGAAGTTTTTTTTTGTTGTTTGTTTTTCTTTTCGTCCCATGTGGTGCTGGGGATTGAACCTAGTGCCTCACGCATGCTAGGCAAGCACTGTACCACTGAGCCACAACCCCAGCCCTAGTGTGTAAGTTCTATAGGGCTGCCATGCTTGTCCTGTCATTCTCCTGTTAGAGAAAGGAAGAAACTATATCCTAATCCTTAGACTCAAGAAAAGATATATATGTATATATATGTATGTTATGGTTATATGTTATGTTATGATTGGTGAGAGACCACTTATTACCAGAAAGTATTTGTCAAGTTTGCTTTTTGGCACCAAGACCTTTTTTCATCAAAGTGAATATAGAAAAGATTTGTCATTTACGCACTTAGTTAATGTTAACATTTAAATAGATAACACGGATGAACATGTAATTAACAGAAATTCAAGTGGTTGTTTCTCTTTTAATGTTTTAGCACTTATCTGAAGAATACATTATCAAATTTAAATGAATCTGTGCTACTGAAATTAAGATTTCTGTTGAAGAATTTCGGTCTTGGCTGCTGCAGAGTACTGGTATTTTGAAAGTAACTCATTTACTCAGTGAAAATAACATTTAAATATGGACATTTCAAGACTTCAAAAGAACTTAAATAGATGTGAATGTTTCCCTAACCAATACTTCTCAAGTAACTTGCACAGGCCTAAGACATCTGCAAGTTAATATGTAGTATAGTATAAGTGAACTTTGAAATAGAGTAGTTTGTAATGTAAATGGTTACATTTCAGAGAAATGTATAATAAGTGCTATTTATGAGTATTTGGATGTTTGCAGCTACACAATCGGGACAGATGTCTGGGGAAGGTAAAGCTGGTCCTCCAGGAGGCAGTTCACGAGCAGCATTTCCACAAGGTGGTAGAGGACGGGGCCGTTTTCCAGGGGCTGTTCCTGGTGGGGACAGATTTCCTGGGCCAGCAGGACCAGGAGGGCCACCCCCACCTTTTCCAGGTAAAACTTTTATTAAATTACCATGGATAAAACGTATCTACCTTAATACCTCTTTTCCTTTTCTCTCTTTTTCAAGTAATGCATTATTAATGTAACTTACTCTCCTTGTTATGCTATTTTTGGAATCCAGGAAATTTGATCAAGCATCTTGTTAAAGGAACTCGGCCTTTGTTCCTGGAAACTAGGATTCCATGGCATATGGGGCACAGCATAGAGGAAATACCCATTTTTGGCCTAAAAGGTCTTTATTTTTCTCCAAACTTGCTTGACTTATATATAGAATATTTACATCCGTCTTATTTTCTTACCTCTTAAAAAATCCTTTCAAGACCATTTTTCCTTGTTTCACTTTCTAGCTTGGCATCAGAGTAGAATATAAGGTGGGTGATTTCACTGTAAGAAGTGTATATACACTGAAAGATGGAAAATAAGCACTGTAATCTTTTTAAAGCTTTTGTTTTAGTAATTTTTCTTAAGCATAAAGTAAGCTAGTTATAAATGTAAGAATATTCTTCATCTTTGTAGTTATTAGTATAGTGTTTACGATATGGGTTTTATTTAAAAAGAAAGAATCTTGGTTTATAAGTTGTACTTTAAAAGTAAATTTTGTCATATAAAAGTTAAAATGCCTTTATTATTGAAGTGTTTTTTTCTCTCTCCTTTATTCTATAGCTGGACAGACTCCACCACGTCCGCCCTTAGGTCCTCCAGGCCCACCTGGCCCACCTGGCCCTCCACCTCCTGGTCAGGTTCTGCCTCCTCCTCTAGCTGGGCCTCCTAATCGAGGAGATCGCCCTCCACCACCAGTTCTTTTTCCTGGACAACCTTTTGGTCAGCCTCCATTGGGTCCACTTCCTCCTGGGCCTCCACCTCCAGTTCCAGGTTATGGCCCCCCTCCTGGGCCACCACCTCCACAACAGGGACCACCTCCACCTCCAGGCCCCTTTCCACCTCGCCCACCTGGTCCACTTGGGCCACCCCTTACACTTGCTCCTCCTCCGCATCTTCCGGGACCACCTCCAGGTGCCCCGCCGCCAGCTCCACATGTGAATCCGGCTTTCTTTCCTCCACCAACTAACAGTGGCATGCCTACATCTGATAGTAGAGGTCCACCACCAACAGACCCATATGGCCGACCTCCACCATATGATAGGGGTGATTATGGCCCTCCTGGAAGGTAAGTTTGTATATAGCAGTTAAAGTATTTGATTAATGATAAGAACAGTGATTCTGTGAAATCTAGTCTATTGTATAAAATGTAAATATATCATTTCTGCCCTCCAAAGAGATGAGGATTCTAAGTCCTACTTTATTTCACCTGAAAGACACTAGTATAAGATAATTTTGCTTAGACTTGTTCTTTGTGTAGGAAAAATAACATCTTCCATATGGACAAGTAACTATTATCTTTCACGCACATGTTAAAAACTGCTAATATGAATTGGTTTACACTGTTTTGACTAACTAGAATCTATTAAATAGCAATTTATGATTTTTTTTTCTTTTATAGGGAAATGGATACTGCAAGAACACCATTGAGTGAAGCTGAGTTTGAAGAAATCATGAATAGAAATAGGGCAATCTCAAGCAGTGCTATTTCAAGAGCTGTGTCTGATGCCAGTGCTGGTTTGTATATTTCTCCCAGTATTAGTATTTCTTATTTATGTTATTAAGAATTATCTAAAAATTTAAGTGCAGTCTTAAAAATTTATAGTCTTTTTATATTCTGATGTCGTTAGCTATCTATTTTAAAAGCATTGAAAGAAGCTGTATGTCACAATATAGTGGAAAGACCCCTAATTTTATTAGGTTTAGATATAAATTCTAACCTTCACTGTTAATGTTTTAGGGACCTATGACAACTCATTTTTTTCTCATATTTGCAAAATAACTTGTTTCACAGAGCTGTAACAATAAATTGTGTTGATTTCATGAACGTAAAAACCTGTTGCAAATTTTGAAGCACACAGAAAAAGATATTATCATTTAAAAGCACATAATTTGGTAAAATGCTTTATCACTTTTATCCCCAAGTGCTTTGATGGCATTTTGAAAACAAAATTTGTTTGACATCAACTGTTTTCCTTTCCCCTATAGGTGATTATGGGAGTGCTATTGAGACATTGGTAACTGCAATTTCCTTAATTAAACAATCCAAAGTATCTGCGGATGATCGTTGCAAAGTTCTTATTAGCTCTTTGCAAGATTGCCTTCATGGAATTGAATCCAAGTCATATGGTTCTGGATCAAGGTAAAACTTTCCTGTCCCATGTCTTTTTAAAGCTGCTAGTTAGCAAAAGGAGAAAGTACTACTGTGTTTGGGACTTTAAAGTATGACTTCGATTTTACTTACCTTTTACTCAGCCGGAGTGAATTTTTTGACTGTATCAATCAGGTATTTGCTTAAAATCCTTTAGAAGGCTTTTATTTAAAATAAATTTGTAAGCATTGAAGCACTATATGGCTCCTGTTCACTCATACCTGTAAAAATTGAGGCACTATATGATGTAGTCTCTTTTTAGCCTTGTTTTGTACCTCTCCCCTTAGTCACTATTCTCTAGCCAAATTGGAATCCCTTCTTTGGGACACATCAAATCTTTGGCCATCTCTCTGATTATGTATTTGATATTCCTTCTGTTGGGAACCCTTTTCCCTGTCTATATCTTTGGGTCCGTATTCCTTCACATCTCAACTTAATTTGATTTCTAAGGGAAGGCCTTTTATCCCAGGTTAGTCCGTCATATCGTTCTGTTTCTTTCATTGTACTTACTGTAACCTTTTCTTGTTTGTTATTCCCCCTTTTTTCTGACTACAACACATAATGAATGAAGAGAAGGGCTTTAGCTATTGTGTTTACTATAGTATATTGTTTCTCATGTCTGAACATTGCCTGGTATGGAATAAATGTTTTTGAATGAGGGACTTATGATTAATCTTTTCTTTAATAGACAATAGTTCCTTTTGAATTAGGCAGTCTTGAAATACTGTATATTTTTGACAAGTGGACTTTATCTGGAGATAGTCTTCGTTAAGTTGAAGGAAAGGAATTTGTCTTTGGTGTGGTCTCCAAATTTATTATTATTCTCTTTCTGACGCAGTGTAAGGATCTTTATATCCAAACAGAAATTTCATAACTAAAGGCCATATCATGCATTTTCTTTATTTTAATACAAAGTAAGAACTTGCACTTTGATCAAGGCTTACTTAGCACCTAATAATGTTTAAATCTAGCTGTTTGGTTCAGAAATGCATGATAAAAAGTATTCTTATTCAAACTAATAGATGGTGGTTATTTATTTTTTTAGCAGTATTGGGAGTTGAACCCAGGGTGCTCTACCACTGAGCTATGTCTTCACCCTTTTTTATTTATTTTGCAATAGGGCTTCTTGCTAAATTGCCCAGGCTGGCCCTGCACTTGAGAACCTCCCCTGTGTCAGTCTCCCAATTAGCTGGGATTACAGGCATGTACCAACCTGCTCAGCCAACAATTATTATTTTCTTATTTTAAATTTTGAAGATCTAATGGTCTTTTAGGCTTTATACTCTGGTTAAAAGTCTGGTTTTTTTTGTGGACTTTTTTTTGTCATTGTTGTTTTTAAAGGCAGCTCATGAAAATATTTCTACTTATAATATACAGTGTGAATAGTATACCAATTCTTTCTACAAGTCCTAATTGTGAGCTTCTCCTCTGCCTTCCCTCCTCCTCCAGATAAACACAGGAAAGTTTCTTGCTTGGCGTGGTCACACACGCTGTAATCCCAGCAGTTTGGGAGGCTGAGGCAGGAGGATTGTGAGTTCAAACCCAGCCTCAGCGAAAGCGAGGTGCTGACCTAAGTGAGACCCTTTCTCTAAATAAAATACAAAATAGGGCTGGGGATGTGGCTCAGTGGTCAAGTGCCCCTGAGTTTAATCCCTGGTACCAAAAAAAATAAAGTTTCTTAATGAGGTATAGTACTCCTGCTAAGTCATATTTTGGCTAGCTAAAAATGTAAAATTGATATTCATATACATTGATCTCTTGGCATCTGTGGGAGGTTGTGTCAGGACCCCTGAAAATACCAGAATCTGTGGTTGCTTGGATTCCTTACATAAAATGGAATATTTGTGTATGGCCCACACTCATTCTTTCCTGTACTTTTTTCCCTCCTACCGTTTACTCCTGTGTACTTTAAAAAACATCCTTACTTTACTTCCAATATACAATACAGTGTAAATTCTGTGTAAATAGTTGTGTTGTATTGTTTAGGGGATAGTGACAAGAAAAAGTCTGTGTTCAATACAGCTGCAATTTTTTATTGGATATGGAAAACCAACTATATAGGTTTAAGAATGTGTTCGTAGGTGGTATTTATGTTTTTAATCCCCACCATATATTAAGTCATTTTTTAAATTTTTTATCTAAATAATTATATTCAAGATGTTCTTTAGCTTGAAACATAAGTGCTTTGGTATTTTTTGTCCTTTACCAGTTTGCTTATTCCATAATTGCTATGTGTTTTAAGCTACTAATACAGGTGTGATATATTCTGTAATTTGGCTTCACAATTTTTTGGTGAATAGTTTTAGAAATTAAATTTTGGTTCATATTTATTCATGAGTTAGTAAATTATTGACAGGTCAGTATAGTAAGTCTAAACTATGTTTACAAAGAATTTTTTGCCTTAGGATTTTTTTTAAACACCAAATATAGTAGTTCCCCACTTACCCACAAAGAATATTTTTCAAGACCCCAGTGTATGACTGAAACTCCAGATTGTATTGAGCTCTATGATAATGTCTTTTCTGTCTTTTTTAATTTTTTAATTTATGTATGACAGTGGAATGCATTATAATTCATGTCACATATAGAGAGCACAAGTTTTTTCATATCTTGTTGTATACAAAGTATATTCACACCAATTCATGTCTTCATACATGTACTTTGGATAATGACGACCATCACGTTCCACCATCATTTCTAACACCGTAGCCCCTCCCTTCCCTTCCCACCCCTCTTCCCTATCTAGACTTTGTCTATTCCTCTCATGCTCCCACTCCCTACCCCACTATAAATCAGCCTCCTTATATCAGATAAAACATTCGGCATTTGGGTTTTTGGGATTGGCTAACTTAGCATTATATTTTCTAACTCCATTCACTTGCAGATGCCATGATTTTATTCTCTCTTCTTGTTGTGTAATATTTCATCATGTTTCTTTTCTGTCTTAATTAAGCACATACCAAACACTGTGTGTGTGTAACTTTTGCATTTTGAGATGTGATACCAAAACACAAATATCTTCACAATTTCACAGGCTCTTACTGTGGAGCTTAGCAATCTCAGCATGATTTTTCTTTCCTTATTAAGTCAGTAACTTTCACCTTTTCACTTAACCATATCTGAATTTCACTTGGAGCTGTTATTAAATAAAATAAAAGTTGCTTACTTAACTCAGTGCTGTGATACCATGACACTTGGTGTGATAACTTAAGATAGCTACTAAATGGACAGGTAGTATGTACAGTCTTCATGTTCTGCAGAAGGGGATGATTCACATCCCAGGTAGGATTTAGCAGGACAATGTGAGATTTCATCACATACTTCAGAATGGTGTGCAGTTTAAAACTGTAATCCTGACTGTGGTTGACTGTGGGTAACTAAAACCACAGAAAGTGGAACCACATATAAGGGTTGGGGGAGGACAACTGTACTATATTTTTCAGTTATGGAGAGCATTAATCCAGTAATTTCTTTTAGAAGACGTGAACGATCAAGAGAGAGGGACCATAGTAGATCACGAGAAAAGAGTCGGCGTCATAAATCCCGTAGTAGAGATCGCCATGATGATTATTATAGAGAGAGAAGCAGAGAACGAGAGAGACACCGGGATCGTGACCGAGACCGAGACCGAGAACGTGACCGAGAGCGAGAGTATCGTCATCGTTAGAAGGTGGGTATTCCTTGTTCCCGTTATATTTAGCATGTGCATTATTAACAGTCATTATAACTCCAAGGCTGTTGTTTATACAGTATATATCTACATATAAATGGTCCAAGTACTTGTTCTGAATTTAAAATTCTGGAAACATCTGAGAAAACAGGTAAGTGATCACAGGTAAAAATTTTGACTTTTGTCCTTGAATGTTGTATTAATTGTTTTTAGATTTCAGATCACTAATGGTATTAAAGCAAGAAAAATAATCAAGAGGACTCATTGTGTACTTCTAAAATCTAAAAATCGGAATTTTTGTAATCACATACATAGTTTGCATGTGATTTAAAGTATTAAAAATATCAGGGAGTCATTTCAGATATAAATATTATGTGCTTGGATTTTAAAAAATAAGATTTCTGTACTTCCTTGAACTAACTTCATTTGTCCCTAAAACTTTTGAAGAAAATCTAACACTATAATAATTTATAAAAGGATGTTTTCTCGTCATGGAAAGAGCTTTTTTCTTTAGTATTTTTTTTTAAAGACACTTTTTCTGGCATCTGGTTTTTGTTTTTAAAAGAAAAACATTATCCTTTAATTTGCAAAGAAGATGAAAAAGTTATTTAATTAAAATGGGGTTCAGGGTACATACACCAAAATTTTTAATTGTGTCATGCCATACATCCCAGGTTAGAATAATCTTATAATAATTTCCTTTGATGTTTCATTCATAAACCATAATCATTGTCTTTTTTTTCTGTATTTTAAACTATTTCTTGTACATTTTTCATAAAGTGAGAATTGTCTGTTTATGCTTCATTTTCACATGTAATTTTATTTTTATATTTGTGAATAGCATTTTATCCATGTGAAGAGTGTGGGGAGGTCACTATAAGTCTTGTGCTTAAGACACGAAGGTTATTCTGTAAACAAGATATTTTTTCTTCATATGTTGGTGGCATATACAAATTAAATTAGGCTTAAAACAAACCCCTTATAAGTAAATAAGTGCAATTCATGGGAAACTTACTGAAAATTCAGCAATGGTAATAGTTAGTATTTAAATTGTAATAGGCATATATCAGAGATTTTATCAAGTGTATGTAATTCTGTAACAAGAGAAATTTCTTTAACCATAACACATATATTAGCAAACAAAATCATTTTTGAATAATACTTATAGGAAATAAGTATTTAAAACATTTTTATGGAACACAGATAAGCTATTACACTGTTTGCAATTTTAGGGACTTTTAAAATGAGAAGGCCCATTTTAATACTTTTTTTCCTTGCATTTTGAATATGCAGCTTGGATATTTTTCAAAATTTTATTTTTTATATAGTTCTATGTATTGTATTACAAAATTTAACATGCCATTCTCAAAGCATTCCTTTAATATGAAACAAAACATCTTTTATTTTAAAACTAAGCTTATTGAAATTGATATTTGTTTTGGATGTGAAAATTGAATGTTGTGCCTTGAAAATCTAAATAGTAAATTTTAAAGATGTAGCTCTCCCCCACACACACATACACACACACAAGTTGAATACCTCTGATCCTTTCCTATGAAAAATTCTTATTGTCTAGCAGTTGATTAAGGTGAATTGTTGCCAGGGTATAACTTGCAGTGTTTAACTGTATTATCCTTTTCATTTATAGAAAGGTTTAAATTCTACAACTTGAATCTTTTTTTTTTTTTTCCATAAGACTTTATAAGTTGCCACCAGTTTTCTGGTTACCAAAGGCATGATAATGAAACTTGAGAACATTTTCAAAACTGGATGTGCCCATCAAAGGGGTCTCTAAACCAGTTTATACCCAAAGTTAATTAGGGATAGTTTTCATACCGGTTTTAGTAAAGCTAGTGAAGTCAACCAAGTAAATTCCACCTGAAAAGTCCATTGATTTTAAATACTTTGAATTTATATTTCAGTAATGAGTGCACCAAAACAGATCATGATTTGAGTTTCATAACATTCAGACATTAACTATGAATTCCTAACGTGAAAACTATTGTTGACATTTTTCTTAATCCCTGATGTACCATGCCAGAATTTCCATGTTGTTTGTACATTAATCAGAATTGAGTTGTAATATTGTAATGCTTCACTTGCTTCATCCAAGCAAAACTTTACATAAGCATTTCCATTGCAAAAAAAAATTCTGTTATTCTGGATTATTGTACCTTTGCTATACCAAACATTATTTATTATGGAAGTAGACATGAATAAAGGGAATGGGGACTGGGATTATATTCAAGTGAAAAACTTCTTTAAAAAAGATTTACAAATTTCGTTACTATTATAAGGTCTATTGTGACCTGTTTAGAAGTTTTTAAATATGAGTCCTTTTGAGCTTTCATGTAAATCTTAAATGGAATAAAATGAATAAAGTGACTTGAAAGCTAAAGTGAATGTCAGTAGTAAGTCTGTATACAAATAAGTAATAATGTAATCTATTATTAAAGAGATGATGAATGGCTAAACGGGCAAGTTCTTAATTTAACTGGAAACAGTGATGTTGGCAAGCTGTTAATGTCTGTCCCATCTTGGTTTTTTTGTGTTTGAACTGTTGGGTAATGTTAATTACATTCTCATTTTTAAAATGTATTAGTTTTTCTAAAAGCATTTAATATTAAGTTTGAGTAGATAATATTTCAATGAGGAAAATATCAATATTGTAAATTTCAGTATGTAAATTGTGTTTCATATTCTGTAATTTTTGCCTCTATTCTCAGACCACTCTGAGCAAAATAAAAGTGATTTAAGATTGTACACTTATTACAAAAATAACTTTACATTCATTAGTTATTTTATTTTAGGTTTTATTCCTTATTACTTGTTTGAAACAGGCCTACTCATCAAATTTCTGTTTGTAATTCAGTTTTTGCATGCTGAAGAGTAATGAAAGCAAATTGTATTTTTAAATTTTCTTTATTTCACTTTCCTGCTCTCTAATTTATGAGGTTTTATATATTCTCAAATAATTATCCATTTCCTTGATAAAAGTTTTTAACATTTGTGTATCAGGTCTGGATTAGTAACTATACTTTTCCTTGACTGTGAGATTACTTCTACCACAAATAACATGTCTTTAGATTTTATTACTGCACAGGAAGTAGGGTGCTTTGCATTGCTTATTCTGCTTATTATAGTTTTGTTGATAATTGGGGGAAAAAGAAAAAGCCAAAAGAATAAAAAGTTCTTATGTTAAGGTGTTTTAATCTGCTTAGAAATTAGTGTTAAATTGAGCCATTTGTGGAAATTACATTCTCTTGGTTGCCTGATGAATGATAACTGGTTGTAATAAGATGTAAAAATTATTTCTGAAATTCTTAGGTCATCTGAGATCTGCCTAAATATTTCCCAGCCCTGTGTTTCCTTGTGCCTTCTCAAATACCTTAACTGCTCTACTTCATTTGGATATGCTAGCTCTAATTTCGTTAGTTCTAATTTCTCTTGCTTTTAGTGTTATTTGCAAAACCTGTCTGACTACACAGCTATCTTACTCAAAGTGACAAGAGAGGCCAGGAAGTGATCCCTTTAATGGATGTATAGTGTGTTTTGCTCACTGTGGTTTAAGAATATACTTTTGTTTATAAATGAATAATGTTCCTTGTTAAAAAAAAAAAATTCAATGCCAATGCCAATGTGAGTCACCTTGCTCTCACCCTCATCTCAGTGTGAAATTTACTACCATTGTTTTAGTTTGTAAATTAGATTGTTTTGAATAAATAATGTGTTGAATGACTATTTAGTTAGCATTATTTTAAAGAAAACCTGATAACCAATTGGGGTAAGGATGCCATTGATGCTATCCAAATTTATGAATTTGCCGTGGTATCACAGTGAATTCTAAATAACAAGCAGCTTGTTTGGAAATGTCTATTTTGTGAATCTTTGGAACAAAGCTGATTTTTCTTTGTAATGGGGTTTATTTCTAATATTCAGTAAGTTGCCTAGAGCAACAATTGTATATGTGTTTAATTATAGAGTAGTAAATATGTTATAGTTGAAATGAGGTAAGTACCATGTCCAGAGGTAGAAAGGTAAAAATAGGAAATGTGGTAGCAAGGAACTTTTTGTAAACATCTACAATAAACAGAATGGTTTTTGTATGATGTTCTAGTCACTATAAGAAGAAACTACATATCTGTTAACACGTATTTAAACACTTTTTTTGCCCACCTTAGAGTCTTTTTAATTAAATATATTAACATGGAAACCTATAAAAGTGCTCTAACAAATACACCTTAGAGCATTTTACTTAACAGTTGAATTTACCGTGAGTTTAATATACTAATGCTAACAAATTTGCTTAGATAAGTTTCTAACAGAAACACTCATAATTTGAGTTGTTAATAATGGGTTGATTTTACATTATCTGAAAATGCAGGTACTTCTCTGTGTATTGAGATTTTACTTAGTGGTCACTTTAGTCTGTAGAGTGGTAGATTTCATTTGTCTTTTTTAGGTAAAGCAAGTAATTGTGTGACTTTGACAATGCAGATTTGACCAGATACTATTCTGAAAACATGGGCTTTGAATGTATTTTTCACTTTGAAGCTTCTTTTTGATATCTTTGTTTATGTAGATGTTTACTTAGATATTTGAGACTATAATATGAAATTGGATTATTGGAAATGGGTTATGTTGCCTTCAAATTTGCCTCCTTTTGAGATTGTAAAATTTGTATTTCCAAGTGGATAAATGTAAAAGTGTTTAGGAATAGAAACAAATACTTAAATTATCCCCCAAATTTTATGTGCGTATGGTGAAAATTAGAGATTTATTAATAGTAAAGACTTAAATCTGTAAGTATAATCATGCAAAAGATGAGTGCTTAATTCTGGATAAAAATGTGTATTGTAACTTAAACGGATTCTCTATATTAAAAGTAATAAAAATTTCCATTTGGAGTAATACTGATTGATATAAAATTGCAGTACATGCCTCCTCCTTCCACTTCTGAGTACTTGGGAGTGAATCTAGAGGTACTCTACCACTGAGCTACATCCCCTTACCTTTTTATTTTTCACTCTTGAGATAGGGTTTCAACCAAGTTGACAGGTGTAGTATAAGTTGTCCTTATACTACACCTGTCATAGAAGGGTTGAATATTTTTGTTTTGCTCACTATGATTTCAAAATATTTTTTCCTCTTAATGACCTGCTGTGGGCTTATTTTTATTGTTGTTTTTCTTCTTCATCCTTTTCAGCAAAATTAAAAAAAAAAATAGGGAGGCTGGGTTTGTGGCTCAGTGGCAAAGCACTTGCTTAGCCTGTGTGAGGCACTGGGTTCAATTCTCAGTACTGCATATAAATAAATAAAATAAAGGTCCATTGACAACTAAAAAAAAATTAAAATAGGGAGATAGTATACTTTTGCAGTGAGATTTATGAATTTCCTAATAATACTTTTTTTTTTTTTAAATACATATACATTGCAGGGCTGGGGGTGTTGCTCATTGGTAAGGTGCATGCTTAGCATGCATGAGGTCTTGGGTTCAATCTCCACCCCATCCAGCCCCCAATACTTTGCAAGTAATAAAAATAAAACTTTTGATAGTAGACATTTTATATTTTTTTCTATGAAATAATTCCACTAAATAAGCTTCATCAGCATAAGATGAAGGAACATTAAAACGGTAACATTGGAAATGACTTACGTGTATCTAAAAAATTATAGGCATATAGACACTATTTAGGAGAAAAAGACCACAATTATAACATCTGGTTTTTCCTTTTAGTTTTAAAATAAGTTGTTATTGCTGGGCAGTATGAATACATACATATGTGTGTTGATGTTCTTAAGATACTTCCTAGTTAGGGGGAGAAAGAACATAAAAGATAAAGACATAAAGATAAATTTATAGTTGTGACAGAAATTAATTGTAGAGCAAAAGTATTTTAAAATTACTTTTACTTAGTACTGAACATTGTGCCCTTTGGACGCTTAAATCACTTAAAACTTTGTTGTTTCTGGGAACACTTCCAAATTAAATGAATGTTTCTTTTGTGAACTCTACATGCCGTTTGCTTACATATGTATTCTTGAGACTTTGGTTTATCAATTTTATTGTTTTTTTTTTTTTTTTCTTTATGTGGGTTTACAATGAAGTTTATCATTGTAGATTCCGATTCCTATTTAGCTTGTTTTTGGTTAGTTTATGCTTCTATATTAGATATTTTGAAATAGGTGGAATAGAGTGAAAGTAAAGTAAATGTGTCAAGTTTGTATTATGTCTAAAAGATTTGTATGTGGATGTCATATTTATTTAATGTCCATATTGAACTATTTATAAATTTTGTAACATGGAACACCATTTGATTTATAACAATTACAGAAGTTCCTGTATGCTGTCAAATAGTTGATTTGTAAAATTTATTGCATTTTATATCCAGTTTAGCATTGTTAAATGAATTAATATAGAATTGATATGTGGGTGAATGAAATCTACATTAAAATCATCCAAACATTTTTCCATTTATTTTTGTAGTATACATATTTTAGAAAATGACTTATGACTGTTTTCCATCATCATAGAAACAGTAGCTGCTATATTTTAATTTGTCTTAGTCATTAAATTTCAAAGGCAATAATATCTAAGAAGAATGTAATTAATGTCTCATTTTTTAATTATCAAATAAATTGGGAGCATTTCTCCACCACACAGGCGGCTACTGTTTCATTTAATTCTTATTTTGTGCTAGAATACATAACAGTGAAGTAGATGCACGACTTGTGTATGTATAGTTAAGCCAGCGTTTTTCTGTGTATGATGGGGAATAGCAAAATCTACATCACAAATTTTGACACATTACAGCTGAAGGAAGAGGAACAACTTCCAAGACAAAACAGTCTTCATGGGGGAAAATGACGCTTGTCCAGCAGTTTGCTTCTTGTGATTGAACTGAACCTGTAAGGATTCATGGATAAACTGAACAGGAATAGATCTGAATAAAGCAAATCTGCATAAATGGTAACCAGTAGCTCTACTTTTATTTTTTATGTTGCTTAACTGTTTTATTTGAAGGAAACCTGTGTGATTTAAAAAGTTAATAGCTTTTGCAACTTTATTACTGGTTATATACATTTGGCCATTATAATGTGCAAGCAATTGGAAAAAAAAGTCAAGTATATGCTTGTTTTTATAGTAGTTTGTTCTTGTTAAAAATGTTCATATGATAATGTCTGTAAACAGCACCACTTTGATTACAATAGATGTAGTGTTGTAATAAACTGTTTAATGGGGCTGATGTGTAAAGCTGTTCAAGTTATTTGATGTTTACACCTCAGGGAAAGTCTTGTGTTCAGCAATATCTAAAGATAATGTTACTATGACAACATTTTTACTGTCCTTTAAAAAAAAAGCATTGCAATAGCGGTTTTGGATATGCATCAATCTAATCTTGCGTTCAGTGAATTAAACATAACTAATTAAGTGTCTCTTGCCCTTGATTTTGATATTAGAATAGGTGATTACATGGATATTTAATATTTCTATATTCTGCTTTTCTAGCTGTTTTTACCTAGTTAGCTTGTGACTTTGCTGAATGGTATGTAAACTTGTAAAAACTGAAATTTGACAGACACAGCAATTCCCATCAATGCATTAGGGGTCAAAGAATGTTGAGGTTTTAACATTTTAGAAAAGTCTCACACATATTTGCTACAGTAGTGCAGTTTAATTACAACACAGGTGTACTGAAACACTTAATTGTGAACTACTAGCATTGAAGTGAGATTTTGAATTCTGATTTGATGCTATAGTGATTTACTGATTTTTATTGATGATGCTTATGGTTTAACTTTGAAGCCATAGGCAGTGTAAATACAGTCATGCAGCAGATAAATGTAGGAAGAGCCTTGGTTTTATTTTCCAGTTGGTACCAGTTTCTGAAGGATGTGAAGTTGTATTAACATTGGATTGTTTTCTCCAGTGTAATGGGAGATTATAGATGTACGTGTCTCTACAGTTGAGAAATTCTATATATATTTTTGTGCAGCCTGTTGATTTCATGCTAGAGTTAATCAAAGATTCCCCCCGCCCCCCCAAAAAAAAAAAACCTGCCTATATGAAGGCCTACATGAAAAGCATCTGGCTTACACATGTTCTTAATTGTAGGATTAGCAGAGACCAGGTCATCAACTGGATATTTTTATGGAAAGATAATTCTGAATCACTATTTCAGAAATTTGAGTTAAAATTCTTAAACAGGCTAATTTGTTTTTTTAATATATTTTTAAGATCTGATAATCTTTGAGAGAGACCTTTGGAGTAGTACACATTGGTTTTTAAAGTATGGCCAAATTTTAGGACAATGCTTAAACGTATTTAGGTACCATAGCTATTACCTAATGTGCAACCATACAAGCCCTCTAGAAATTTGCATTGCCTTTCTTCAGTTTTGTCTTGTCTGCTTTCAAACTACTCACAAAATTAGCTGTTTCAAATTATATTTTTACTAGTTTTATATTTTGTGAGTGGAGTATTTGTGTAAGGGATCATTGGTGTTTACCAGAACTGTTTGCTCTCAAAAATGATTTTTAAAGTATTTTATCTTGTTGAAAATGTAGTTGCCTTTTTAACATTATTTGAAAGTTGTATCAAAATCTGTTTTTTTGTTTTATGTATAGGTGTTGTAAGTTTTTGTCATTTCTTAAGCTTTTTTATATTTTAATTACAATGCCCTAATGTGAAGAAGTTTGGACTTACATATATTACAAGGGAAATTAGTTTATAGTAAGATTAAAAGGTAAGTAAAATGTCCACGAGAATAAAATTTTCTCTGAATAGTTTAAAAATGAAATCACAAAAATCTCTACTTGAAGTGAAACTGGAAGTTTTGTACTAATTTAATCCTTCATCTACCTTTTCATTTTTTTATCAGTGGAACCTTTTAATTGTTCCTTCTATATTATTCTTCTCCCTGCTTGGCTTACTTCATTACATGACTTTTGTTGCAGACAGTGTGAGTGTACTAGATTTGTTTGCTTCTATCTAGTCTATCGTTTTAAGTGTTGTCAGGAGGACTTTTGGTTTGACCAAGTAGTTTTGCAAAGTCTTTCTCCACCTGGAAACATACGAATGTATAGCAGTAAAGCTAAAAATTGCAAACCTTGTTTTATTTGTCATACCCCTTCTGTTGTTTATGAATTGATGTTATTTGAAAGCTTTTTTTTAATGTTAAAAACAATCCAAAGAGAGAAATCTTTACAAAGACGCCAAAAAAAAAAAAGTGAGTGTCTCAGAGACCTTTTTTTTTTCTTAATTTATAATAACTAGTGGACATGAAAACAAAACTTGAGTTGAATTTTGAGCCATAGCATTTGTTTATGCTATGCAGTCACATTCCTTTTCAGCTAGTGGTAAAATTATGGACGAGTGATAACAGCACCCGAATGGTATTGCTTCTGAAGCAACACTTTGAATTGAATGTGTTTGCTTTTGGCTAACGGAAATATGTTGTGGAAAGGATATTCCAATGTGAATCTACATGTATTTATTTTATTTTGTTAGTTTTGTTAAGATTTGAAATAACTTGCCATGGCTGTTGATCATAGGTTAACCAATTTAATGACCCCTTTACCGGAATATTCTTAAGCAGTTAACTACAATTTGAATTTCACAAATTACTTGTAGCTTAAGGTATTATTTTCATTTGATTCTCCTATGGAGAATGTTGCTTTACTTTTTTACTAGTTTAAGGTCAGTTCTAAAAATAAACATGGAGGTTTTAATGAATGTTGTATAATATTTTATAGTGAAGGGGAAAATTGTTGAAAGGGTAAAGACTTTATCTTTCCCTTAATGTATTTAAATGTGCCAATAACCTAACTACACACTGTTTTATATAATGACATGCTACTATAAAACTTTTCTGTTGGAGTGCTCAACATTTTGGTTTTCTAAATGGTCATTGCATTTTCTGTATCTTACAAGGTGGCTCCGATTTTGTGTTTCAAGCTTCAGCTTAATTTATTTTAAGAGGAAGTTTATGTTCTAATTCTTTATTGAGAATATAGTATTGAGATTCTCACTGTTTTATGGGTAATTGTTTTTTAAATTTTATTCATTGAGTTCATTTGCATCCCATAGTCTCTGTAAATGTTTTCCCCTGTTGTATGTACTTAAATGCACGCTTATCCATTGTACATATTAGTCATTTTTTGTGGTAATATATAAGTGGGATTTTTGTAGCAAAGCGTTCTATTTTTCTGTTCTTAAAGTGTGTGTGCGTGTGTGGTGATTTTTTGTTTGTTTTTTTGTTTGTTTTTTTAACATTAACCTTCAGTTTAAACATTGTTGTACTTATTTTTTAGCAACTTGACTCTTAGAAGCCTTAGACTAGTTTTTAAATATATATTCAACCAAAAATTATAAATTTATTAAGATGTGGCCTTACATATGGCATTCTTTGTATTATAATATGAGATGTTTTATTTAGAGAAATCAAGATTCAGGCTTAAAATTTTGTCTTAAGTTGAAATGGAAAATGTGTTAAAATGTCTAGGCTTCTGGGAGGAAGTTCTTATAATCTTCTTTCTTGGCATTAGAAAGAAGCAATATGAATTTTTATGAATATTCAAAATATTCAGGCAATTGTATTGTCAGATTGATTTAGATTTGTGTTAACCAATGTTTCTTTAAAATTTCAGGTTGTTGGCATTCAGTATCTGAGTATATAGGTATATGATTTTTGTATGGGATGTATAAATAAACACTTGGTTACCTACAGATAGATTTCAATGTTTAAAGACTTCCTGCTGCATTAATTAACATTGTATGGGAGGCTTTAAAAATATTAGGTAAATTTAATTGAAGTCATACAAATCTTGATATGGTATTTCTGGATAGTGAACACTACCAGTTTTTCATGTGGGAGTATCCTAAAACTCCACCATGGGTGTAAATGTTTTACATTAATTTCCTAATTGGACAGACCCTGCATTTAGTTTTAAAAAAATTCATTTTGAAGGTGTGTTTTTTGTCACACTGTTATTGCGTAACACTTCTCAGCATTCTGTAAGTTAAATTATTTCAAAATATAATGGTAAATTCATGTTTGTTTATTTTTTTACTTTGAAAATGTAGTACTCAGGTGGTATTTAATGGGAAATGATCCTTTGAGGTAAATCATAATGTATTCTAAGGAATGCATCTATAATATTGATGACTTTAGCCTTAAAAAAAGGTCTGTTATTCCTTCTTCCTCTGCATCCCATGGTGTATTAGCAAAGTAGTTTACAGCCCGGTACAGCCTTACAAAGTTGTTTTACAATTTTTAATGGAAAGTCCTTAAAAAACAAACAGACAAAAAAAAATTGTATCATATTACCAGTATCCGTGGATTACTGAATCACAGTTTGTAAATAATTTGTCTAATATCAGAAGGCCAAAGAAAGTCTTAAAATTTTAGCTATTGACTATGGTGACTTCACAATAAGATTTCTGTGCAAAAGGTAAGGTGATTTTTGATCAAATAGACATCTTTTTGATGTCCATGAGAACTACACTTCCATATTAGCTTCTATTAAAAAGCTTTTTCACATTTTATTAAAATGTTTGTAATTGCAATTTTGTGTTTAATGTTTATTTTTGTCTTTTCTTTTCTTTAGCATTTAGGTGACTGTTCAGCAGTTTGCTATATGGCCATTGTTGGCCTTAAACTGCACTAGTAACAAGCATGGTATTTATCTTGTATTGAAAATAAAACAAAATTTTGATAATACTTGCAGTTTGTCCTGTTTGATTTATAATTTGTTAAACATTGTGTATGGAGTATTTCTGTTTGGTTTGGTTTGGTTTTGGTACCAGGGATGGAACCCAGGGGTGCTTTAACCCTAAGCTGCATCCCCATTCCTTCTTCCTTATTTTTACTTTGAGACAAGGTTTCTCACTAAGTTACTGGACTATCCTCTACCTTGTGATCCTCCTGCTTCAGCCTCTGGAATCACAGGTGTGTACCACCATATCTAGCTATCATTGTGTGTAGTTTTGAGTACTATTGGGTAATATGAAGGGTAACATAATTGGACTTTACATTTTGTCTTTAAGGCAGCCTTCTTGGAGACTTTCAGTTCTTTGCTGGCATTTTGATGCTCTTTCAAGTAGATGGTATGTGGTTAGAATTAAGATGAAGGAATTCAGAAAGTCTGTAAACTGTTTTATTTGTAAATCTAAGATTCAGATTTGCCCAGTTTTAAGGGATTATTAAATTAACTAAAATGCTTTTATATTTATTATTTATTTATTTTAGTTTTTGGTGGACACAACATCTTTATTTTTATGTGGTGCTGAGGATCGAACCCGGGTCTAGCCAGTGTGAGGTGAGCGCTCTACCACTGAGCCACAATCCCAGCCCTTTAAAAATGCTTTTAAACAGTGACATATTTGTTATTTCAATGAGAGAGAAAGAATACGTGCGGGGTGGGTGGGGGGAGTTGAATCAGGGTCCAGATGACTCACCTGCAGGCTGGAAGTATGTTGGAGTATGGAGTATGTTGAAGATTAGTTCTGAGCAATTAAAATTATCATTTGAGAAAGGAAGTTATCATTAGTGGAGTCTCTTTCAGTGCTTACATTAAAGTTGTGGGTCAGGTTTTGTTAGGTTCTATGTTACTCTTTTTTCTCCCCCTGACTGTTTTCTATGTTGTTATTATACGTTTACATTTTAAAGAAGGTAGTGTTCATTAATCCCACTTGGATTAAATTGAGATTTTTGTCTGTAGCCTACAGAGGCAGAGAACATTTAACCATAATAAAAGATGGCTGAGAGCAATTTTGACCAAATGCCACCCAAAACTCCAGGAGTCAGTCAAGGCCTGATACAGTATAAAAAGGAGATACTAAAAAATTATTATTATTATTTTTAAGTTTTACAAGGAGATTTTTTTAAAATAGAGGATTGATAGTTTCCCCGGTCTTCCTAGTTTTGTTTCTCAGCAAATACATGAAAGAAGAATTGTTAATAGTAAGTGTTTTCCATTGCTATCCTGGGTCTTTGTCTCCCTTTTATATTTCATTAACAGAATTCTTGGGTTTTTAAATGGCACATCAGTTCTGATCAGCTGTTGTCAATGCTAGATAAGATCTATACATTCCTGTCATCCACACAGGGGCATTCTACCAAGTAATCTACATTTCCAGCCATTTTCATTTTGAGACAGGGTCTTGCTAAGTTGCCCAGGCTGGCCTCAAACTTGGGACTCCCCTGCCTCAGCCTCCTGGTTTGCTAGGATTGATAGGCAGGCACCAGGCACCATCATACTTTTATTTTATTTTTACATTCTTTTCAAAAGTCCATACCCCACTTACAGGAGAACTTCAGTAGATAGAATTTATTTCCTTAATGTAGATCTGAATTAAGACTTGGAAAAAAGGAAGGAAGGTACCTTTCTAGGCAAAAAAAGAGATTTGGAAAAAGACCTTTCGGCAGGAGTATGCTATTAGTAGGAATTGAAAGAAGAAGGGGGTGAAGAACATAGCCTGAGTGGAAACTCAGCAACAGGCAAGGCCTAGGGCTTGTAAGTCACATTTAAGACTGTCCTAAGAATGCTGTGGAATCCTTGGAAGTGAGTAAAGCATTTCAAGTAGATTCGTTGCAGATTAAATTGGGAAGGAAGAAAATAAGGTAGTCTAATGAGACTTTTACAAGAGTCTTTAGAAGAAAAAAAAAAGTTGGTTGAAAGACCTAGGAGGCAAAATCAACAGGATGCTGTGAAAATTAGGCTATGAGAAGGTAAGATGATGACTTGGAGCTTGTATAATAGTGTGCCATTCACTCGGGGGGCGGGGGGGAACACCAGAAAAACATTGGGCAGTGGTATGAATTTTGTACATTTGCATTCCAAGAAATAGTTATTAATAGCCATAAGATTCTGGAATTGAGAAGAAAGTATAGGTTAAAGCCTTAATTTTGTAGCCTGAAATAAGGGAGTTAAAATAGAGAAGAAAACATCCCAATATGGGATGAGTCTGTAAAGGGGAATCATGAGGAGTTCATGTTTGGTGTGTGAAGCAAACTGAATGATACCAAAAACAATAGCATCAAAACAAATAGTGTCAAAAGTAGCTTTGGGAACAAAGAGGAACTTCCCTTGGAAAAGGATACAAAATATGGAAGGTTGTGGGCTTGTAGTAGGTGGTAGAAACTTTAAAAATGTTTATATTTGGTGATTTCTATTTGAAATAGAAGTTGAGAACATTGTTATGTGAGTATGGCTTAAGTTTGCAAGAGGTAGGATTTGGGGACTCAGTGAGTGTATCTAAGCTTGAACACTCCATTTTTGTGGTGGCAGTCCAGTTAGTAACATTTTTTTCCACGAAAGGAGTTATAATAGCCATAAGATTATATAGTAGTTATACTAGCCATAAGGGTGAATAAACCTGTGGGATGAGGAAAGTAATAATTATCTTACTAATATTACAATTTAGTGATTGTCAACCCATCTACAAAATAGAATCAGCCATGCCCTCCCCTCTTGGGTCAAATTGCCATTCTGCATTACTTAAAAATTGATTTTGTACTTGCTAACTCACTAGTTTTGACTACTAAAATAGGTTAAGATAATGTTCTACTTTTACAAAGGCAGCTCCAAGGGACTGGCAAGAATGGGTGAGTAGAGATTAGAATAATTTTATGATGCCAGTTTTCCAGTTAAACTTTGTTCATCCTGAAACTGTACACACTTGGGAATATATTTCTTATAAATGTTATGTGTTTACATATCTTGAACACCTACTCTATAAGGTGCTGTTAGATGCTGACATGTATACAAGACCTTAGCAACTTAGTGGTACCTTTTTTGTTATTAAAAAAAAAGTCTGATATAAATACTTGTACAGATTCTACCTATATAATATACCTATCTATTAAGAATATAAGGTAGACAGGTATAACTAACACTTATGGGGAATTTGGGCCCTACGTGTAAACGCTGAATATCATCCCAGTATAGTATAGAAACTTGGGCCCTGTATATCACTTTAGTAAAGCATCTTTCATCCTAAGAATTAGCAAGCAATTTGTACAAACTGGAACAATAAAAAGCTAGTTATGGCTAGCTTTTCAGAATTAATAGCATATCTTAGTTTATTCATTATGAACACCAGTCTTTGGAATCATTTATATACAACTCAAAAATTGATCCAGGAATGCTGGCAGCCATTCTACTCCAAGTGAATGAGCTCAAATAATTTATGAATACATGTATTTGCACACAAAGAGATTGCCTATCTACAAAGTTCCATAGCGACCCATTTTACATTGTTTTCAATAAATGATCTAATTGATCTAAATACATGAGTGGACACTAAAAGGAAGAGGAGCATGAATGGTCTAACCTCTTTTATTACCTAAAGTTGGCTTCTAAGAGTTATTTCCCCCGTTTACATACAAAGGACGGAGAACATGCCCTCTTATCAAACTCAGCCAGTCTGGTGCTTCATCAGTTAGTGGGGACAGTTAAAGCAAGGAGTCATAAGTGCAAGTTGAAATTCATTTCTTACACCTTTGATATGCTTTGTTGTTTCTTTTCCCTGATATTTAAAAAAAAAAAAATTGGGGGCACTCTTGGTGTTCTTATTCAGTTAAGTCTTAATGTCAGTTTCCACATATATATTTTCCAATTCAGACCTTTCTTCCAAACTAGCATTTTAAATGCCAAGGCTGAATTTTTTTTTAAAGAGAATTTTGTAATATTCATTTTTTAGTTTTCAGTGGACACAACATCTTTATTTTATTTTTATGTGGTGTTGAGGATCAAGCCCAGCTCCCTGCGCATGCCAGGCAAGCCCGCTACCGCTTGAGCCACATCCCCAGCCCCTGAATTCTTAAATCTTTTACCTTCTCACCCCCTTAGCCCAGTGCCTTCTCCTATAGCTAACATCAGTACCTTCATTTCAGTGGCTTAGGCTCAAAACTTGCTCTTGATTCCTCACATCTCACATAGAAGTCTTGGACATGCCATCAGAGAATGCTTAGGACCACTTAATACTATCCCCACTGTTTTCTGCCTTTGCCACCATATACAGTCTGTTCTCAGAATAGTTGTCAAGACTTTTTAATCTGCTTTAATCAGCTTTCCCCATTTCAGAGTAAAATCCCTATCAAGTTCTTCTGTACTCAGTTCATCCCAGCCACTGTGACTTTTTTTTTTTTTTTAAACAAGCCAGGCATACTCCTCCCTCAAAGTCTTTGAAGGAGACATTTCACCTACCTGCAAGTTGTAGATATCTGCATGTGACAAGTTCTCAATGAGATTTATTTTCACCTTTCTATTGAAATATAAAACCTACTTAGTCTTCTCTTTTTTCTGCTTTATTCACTTTTCTGACCATATCTTGGGTTTTGTCCATTTGAATATAAATCTCATGAAAGCAAGGATCTTGTTAAATTACAGTGTCTATCGGTGTGTGACATAAATACTCAGCAAATATTTCAAAAGAATGAATGCCCTTTTAGTTGTACCATATTTTGTTAGCTTAAACTTACTACAGTTTTGCTGTTAGTTTGGGGGTTTTGTTTGGTGGTGCTGGAAATCAAACCCAGGTCACAGGCTAGGCAAGCACTGTACAACTGAGCCACACCCTTAGTTAGCCACCTCATTTTTTTAAGTTGTAAAAAATATATCACATTTGGGGCTGGGATTGTGGCTCAGTGGTAGAGCGCTTGCCTAGCATGTGTGAGGCACTGGGTTTGATTCTCATCACCACATAAAAATTTCAAAC